GAATAAAGTTTAGAAACCACTGCTAGGGTGCATCTATTAACTCCTTCAACTTTACCTGCAAACCGCCTCAGATCTATTCACCAGGCCAAATGAAATTCTTAGCCACCTGGGCAGGTGAGGAGTTAAGAGCACCAATTTTGTATATGATAGTTCCTGTGTGTCATGTGTAGAAGGCAGTTAACTACCAAATGGGATACTAATGTAGCGACAAGGATATGGCTGCCTAGAGATGTTTTGCTCACATCAGCGAGACAGAGGCGTTTCTTTCTCTCTGTTCAGCATTGCCACCCCAGAAACTGCTTTTACTCAACCATCTCCTACTTCAAGCTTTCAAACGGTGGGTTGTAGCTTATTGGGTTCTTAAATCATTTAATGGCTTGCAACCAGCATTTTTAATGGAATGGAATTGAATGGAACGGAATGGAACAGAAAATATCAGCAAGCACATCATGTAAAAGAGCCATTAATTGTTTTGTGAACCACCCATATTTTCCTGTGGTTCACAGAACAAAATGTCTGACATACAGCCCTATACAATCTGATTTCTTCTCTCTCTCAGTCTCATTTTGCCTCCCCTGGATTTTCCCAGTTGGGATGGCTAAACCTCTACCATCGAATTTAAAGGACAGCTGTAGTTGAATCTGGTGGCTTTGTTTCATTCATTTGGAAAATATGGAGATGAAAATGAGCCAGGCACGTTGCAGTCTTCCTGAAAAAGTCATCTCTCTCCAGAAGGGCTCAGATGCTGAATGCACAACTTTTTCAGAAAGAACTGGCAACAAACCCATTCTGCCTTCAAGCTTTGAGATGCAGAGCTTTTAGTTCTTCTGCTAATAGAGCCTCATTTGCACACTGCTTTAAAGGCAAAAGACATCTGCTTCAGCTTCAACTGGGAAAAATAGATGAACTGTACAGCAGACAAACTCTATGATGACTGGAATATTGTTTACCAGTGAACTTAATTGGTCCTTTGGCTTGAGGGCAATAAAATTTTGCCTTAAAGTAGCAGATTCTACTCCACCAAACCACAATTCAAGTTACAAATACAAATATACACACACACACACACACACACACACACACACACACACACACACACACATATACCAGGAGTGCCAAAAAAATGTATACAAGTGGACATTTTGGTCAAAGTTGCTCAAGCAGTAGTTTGCCATAATCAGAAGTTTCTGGATGCTGATGGTAACCACTTTGAGCACCTTTTGTAATTGCAAACGTCTAAAGTGACTTGTATTCATCTTTTGTTATCAGTATATTGAGTAGTACAGTTTTAATACAGTTTTCCTTTCTTAAAATGTGTATACTTTTTTGGCACCATATATTTATATATATTTGAAATATTTAGGAGGGTTTTTTGGGATAAGGGGTAGGAAAATTGCTGAGCAGAGCTGAACCAGCCTGAATGCCAGAAGGAAAAGATATAGCCAGAGAAGCTCTAGGCAGATGCAGTGGCAAGATAAAATAGCAATGTTAGGGGTATGGACAGGGCCTGAGGGAGCGTGGCATGAAAACAGATGTGTGAAGGAGACAGGGTAGTGTGAGGACCAGCTAACTGATAGTGCTGCCAAACTGTAGCAAATCAATACCTGTGGTTAACAGAGCCTGAGAGATGAGGATAATGACCACGATCTGAAAAAGGTCATCGGTCTCTGGTTAAAATAGCCTGAAGTACTGAGGAGGATAACATTTCCTAACACTCTTTGAATTGATTTGACCAACAATCTAGAGATTTCCTTTCAATCTACCAAAACCTTAATTTCCAAAGACAGTTTTACTTTGGCTAAGATGGGTGACACTGCAAAGAGCAGCAAAAATTATTCTGCCGATACACTTTTGGAGGACACATTAATGTCTGGTTCATCATCCATCTTTCACAGCACCTAGCAAAATGCTCAATAAATTTGGGCTGAAAAGTAAAAATTACCAGCTTTCCTTGCTCAGCATGTCCCCTTCCAATTCATGGGCACGCTACATGGGGAGCAGGACAGGAGACCTAATCTAGCTTTGGTGTTTGCAGTAAATAAACCCTCACTCTATGTATTTGCTTTCGGCTGAGAAGCCAAGAGACAACTTGCCAGCATATTTTGAGCCCTATTCTTGAATAAAAATATAACTAGAGGTCAAGTTATTCTTTGGTCAAATGACAAAGAATGCAGCCAATATATAAATGGGGTCATTTTTGAAAATTGCACTATAAATCCCAAGAATATAATTGTTACATAATTGATATGAAATGTCTGAAAATAGGTTTTTAGGCAAAGGCTGATATGCTGCCAACAAGTCTTTAAGCATAGAGCCAAAGCAGGTCAAGTTAATCTATTAACTTCTTGTAATAAAAATTAATCATTCTCTGCAATTCTTAAAACAACAAACAAACAAACGAACAATTATCTGGATCCTGCAACAACTTTGAGATGCACTGAGAAATGAGAAGAGAATTATCAGGCTCATTTTTATTTGTGACCGCCAGAGATAGTCCAGTTCCCCAGTCCTGGGCAGAACCCTTCAAAGCTTAACCTGACTATTATCTAAAACCAGTCCCCTGTCAGTAAATATTGGCTTTGTAGCTGTTACTCTGTTTATTTCAAATACGAATAAACAGAATCTTCCTTCAGTGGGGCCGTGATTTTCAAACAATTCTATGTGTCACAGTTTCCTGCAGAGCTTGGTAAACATTGTAACTGCCTAAACCCAATGCCGTTAAATCATCCAGGAAGGTTGAAAAGAATACTGATGGCTGGACCTCACTCTGGACCAACTGCATCAGCCTCTGGGGATAAGGCCAAGGCATTGGTATTTTCTAAAAGTGCCCACAGGAGACTGTAAGGTGCAGACCTGGGTCGAGAAGCCCTGCCCTACTGAGCGATTTAGTAGGTGATGGTGAGGCCCAGGCCTCCCTGTGTACAATAGGTGTCACACATGATTCTGATAACCATGCTCCATGGACCTTATTGTCAAACACACTGGCCTAGATCATATAGAAAATCTAGGGAACTCCAAAGCTCTAGGAATCAGTGACTCTTAAAATGGACATGTCTCACTTCTCCTTGGACTTCTTTTCTGTTATAGCAAAATCTCTTAAATAAACTCAGTCTACATGGTAAAGAGGGAGGATTAGTTAAATGAAGCAGGATACCCAGATACGTAAACTAAGATGTTTAAGGATATTAAATGTGTTATATTAGGGCAAAAGTTGATTTTCATCTGAATGTGCCCTCAGAACTTCATAAACAAGTGATTGCATTTCTGAGACGAAAGTAACTTAAAATTAGTATCTCATAAAATCAGTTTGAGAGATAAACTTGCACTCAGAAAATATTATTTATACTAAATCATAATGAACTTTTAAAGAGTCCACTTAAAATGAAAAGTCAAAAGGATAAGTACAAGGACAGTCATTGCAGCATTATTTTTAATAGCAAAAAATTTCAAACTACTTAAATGTCTATTCAAAAGAGAACTAGTCAAATAAAATATTAGGTACAATTAACTAGAATGCAGCCATTAAAAAGAATAATGTTGCTCTCTATATATTAACAAAAAAGATATCCAAGAATAACTGAAAATAGAAGTAAATGGTAGATATGTATGTAGTATAAGACCATTTGTATTTTTAAAAATTAGTCCTGTATGAAATTCATGGTATTTCTCTGGAAAGATACCCAATAAAATTTCAGTGATTTCCTTCAGAGAGGGAAACTGTGGCTGGGAAAATGTGACTCATGTTCCCATTAATATTCCTTTGGTCCTTTTGGACTTTTGTACCATTTGAATTACTCAATCAAATTTTTCTTAAAAATAAAAGGCCCAGTGTAAACTGTAAACTATTTAAGTGAATCTTTGTATATGCCATTTGTATATACCAACCGTGGTATATATTAGACATTCAATAAATGTTTGTTTATCAAATAAACCTGCTACGTTGTTCCTCCTATTATTCAAATATCTTCTTTCTTGGTATGCAGGTGGGAGGGGTGGTGGATAGCTAACGTTTCACATACATTACATTAATGTATTATGCCTCAGCATTTACTGAGTACTGAGTACGTGCTAAGCATTATGTTAATCTCCGGATATGTGTTCATCATCTCAGGTAATTCTACAACATCCCTGTGAAGTACATATTATCATCTCTCTTTTACACATGAGAAAACTGAGCCTTAGAGAGCTCACTGCTGACTCAAGCAAGTTGTGTTATGCACACAGACACACAGACACACACACACACACACACACATACACACACACTCAGACACACAACATTAAAGAAGCACCTTTAAAGTACATGCAAAATGTTGGGAGGACTATGAAAACAATATGCCCTTTGCCCTTCCAAAGGGGCTTACTTTAGCAGGGGAAACATTTATGTATAACATACTATAATATAAGGCAAAAGAGAACCCTGTGGTGGGAGTTTTGAAGGAGAGAAATAAATCCCAGAGAAGGAGAAGGAGGGAATCAAGGAAGTCTTCACAGATGAGGACCTGGTTAATTAGTTTTGAAGGGAGCAGTCGGGAGAAAAGTCATGTGATTCATGCATTCCACATTATGCTAAGTGCTGTGTGTACATGATCACTTTTTATTCTTTTAATCCTAACCATTCTAAGTATCCTTATTCCCAATTTTAGATGAATAAATCAAAACCTAAAGAAGAAACTTTCCCCAGATGTTCTGGTTCACATTTAATGTTGCCTTACTTCCTATGAACCATCTCTATTAAGGGAGTGCCAACATGCATTGCCTCATATGTTAATATATAACTGTGTGTTCACGCACCATGCGTGTGCGTGTGTTTGTACGTGTGTGCTTGCGCATACACATTCCTTATCTCTAATACAAGTATAAACTACTTGAGACAGGAAACTTTATATTTCTTGAATATTCCCCTATGACATGCTCACACAGCAGACACTGAAATATTTATGGTAATGTATTCATGCTAAACGGTCTGTATAATCCAGCTGTTTTTATTTTGTGCAAAGGCTTTATGACACCAGATGAAAGAAAATTATTCGACCACCTCAAATCTCCTCATCTAAAATACTGGGTTCCATTCGTCTGGTTTGGAAACCTGGCAGCTAAAGCCCGGAAGGAAGGTAGAATTAGAGACAGTGTTGATCTGCAATCATTGATGACTGTAAGTACACCATAAATTGTCAGTAAAAGATGCTAATCAGAGACAAAGAGGGACCCGGTGGATGCAACAGGTCTGACCAGGGCGAATCCCCTGTGTTCAATTGGGAACCAGAAAGACTGGGCTGGTGTCAGAACCCTCAACACACTGGACACGGACAGCACAGAGGTTCTAACTCAGATTAATTGGCAGTGGTTGCTTGGAAGCTCTGTTTTAAACAGAATTAGGCTTGCAATGTGTGCTGTAAGAGAGCGTCCCTTGACTGATTAGCAGTGTCTGCCAAGGGCTCTGAAAGATCTGGCCCACATGACATATTTGCCTCCCTGGCTCCAAGATCCCGGAATAAAACCTGGAGTAGAAATAAACCTCCCCAGGTAGTTTCCCCAAACTGGAATAGCCCAAGGTTAAGCCACATTTTCAGATGCCCCAGGAAACAAAATTATGTTTTCATTCAGCAGATATAACCCTGATTCATGTGAGAAACAAATGAATGTAAGGGCTGGATAGATTTGTGCCATGACAGTCTCCTGCCTGGATCAGGCTAAAAGGAGTGAGTTTAAAAATAGCTCCCCAATGAATGTGAACTCTCCTTCCCAGTCTCAGATAATAACTTAGGTGCAACAGAAGGAAACAGAAATCAATGGATCCCAGTCCTTCCTGCTCCAAAGAAATATAGATTTTTCTGTCAATATAAATATCCATATTTGGGAGGGGGATGCTTAGGATGGATTTATTTCTTTTTTCTAAGATCTATAGTAAGCATGTTTCAAAAGAAAGAAAGAAACAAACAAACAAATATGCTCTCCACATAATTTACCAAAGTGGTCAGAAATGAGTTATTTAAAATATTAAATCACTGCCTTCCTATCACCACTTTGAATGAAAGTTTGAATTCAATAGATTAGGAGATATTTCTATAAAGCCCCAATTTATCTTAACATTATATATATGTATATTCAAATGTACTCCTTTTTTGTACATTGTTGAATGATGTTCACCACTTATCATTTTCAGAAGTTTTCTTTTGGGGTGGCTTTCAGAACCAATTTGCTAGCCTTACAAAGTCAGTCCCATCATTTTACAGACATAGTCATAAAAGACATGTCCATATTCCAGATCCTAGTAAGTATTTATTACCACACGCATCATTTTCGTAAATTGTGTTTTCTCTGCTTCTGGCTTAGGAGATGAACCGGTATCGCTCTTGGTGCAGCCTCTTATTCGGTTACGACTGGGTTGGGATCCCATTGGTTTATACCCAGGTATCAAATACCGTGCACGTAACTTGTCTTTCTATAACACTGTCCCACTTTGGCACTTGCTGTAGGCAACCAGCGCTGGGCTCTCACTTGGGTTTCCTCTCCATTCCAGGTTGTCACTCTGGCTGTCTACACCTTCTTCTTTGCGTGCCTCATTGGACGCCAGTTTTTGGATCCCACCGAAGGCTACGCGGGGCATGACTTAGATCTTTACATTCCAATCTTTACTCTCCTACAGTTCTTCTTCTATGCAGGATGGCTCAAGGTAGCCAACAGGCTCAGTGTCATAAGACCCACTCTGTAATCTCTGTCATGTCCCACATTCTGCACGCTGATCCCTTACTGAGCCTAGCAAATCATTCCCGAGTGAGTCAAAGGCAGATTTCACATTTAGTAGCTCAGTGATATTATTACTTTTCAATTGGGGATTAAAGTGTCAGGGATGTGGTGAGTACCGTATTGCAACGATCCAAAGCAGCTCGTTTATGCAAAAAAAATGACAAGAATACTCTTTTATGGCTATTGATTTTTTTTAAGTCTTTGTGTGCTCCCATTAGGATTACAATATTGTAAGTAAAGCACTAACTGTACCTGCATTGATATTTCATATCACAGAAAGCAATGAGGCAGAATAAAAGAAAGTAAATAAGAAGTCTTATATTTCAGCCTTAAGCATTAACATTGTATTATTATCGCAATTCCGCTCAACTCTGTAAATAGCTGTGATTCCCTGAAATCCCACTAGCTGTCCCACGACATTAAATGCATCCCATTTTCAAAACCAGAACTGAGACTCAGAAAAGAATTCATCGAAATCAAAAGCAGAAAACACCAGGACTAATGACAACATTTGGTTTGCCAGGAAATTAAAAACAGGTGAGAAGTGAGGATGACTTGTCCAATCATCAGTGTAGAATTTTATTTGTTACCACCACCACCTCCAATCACCCCCCTCCTCTCGCTCCTCTCTAGATGTATGCGTAAATAAATATCAGAGCTCTGATTCTTCCATCTCTTTTGTAAACTTCTAAAAGAGAATGGTACAGTATGTGATGGAAAAACAAAATCAGAGACAATAGCTACATTAGGTTACTTGAAAGCTAATGACAGTTTGAAGATGACTTTAATAAACTAGAATTTTAAATGTTTGATCTTCCAAATAGCCACATATTGGAGTGTACCATCGAGGTTTTCCAGGCGGCGGCACTATTTTCCCTGCAGATGCCTTTACTTCCATTGGTTTGAATCTTAACCAGGAAAAATAAATTATGTTGTCATTTCAAATTTTACTCCAAAGAGTAAAGGCATATCTTTCACAAATGGCAAAAACATTTTTAACCAGATGACAATGATTCTTAATTATGTTTACCCATTTAAGACGGAGAAAGAGCAAGGGAGACTAATACTCATAGCTCTCATTTTGCAAGAGAGAAAAAAGGAGACTATAATATTTTTATAAACAGAAAATCACCAAAACTGGCCCAAATGCTCAATCATTCTGGTCTTTTCTTGCCCTTTCCTCTGAGTTGTGCTGAGCTTTTTCGTCTTTGCTTTGTGTCCACGTGAGGTGTTTGGCTAGCCTATAAGGAACAGCTAGTTCCTGCCTTCTGAAATGCTCTCTAAAATATTAACATTCTCTTCCTTTATAAAATATTTTTAAAGGCCCAATATGAAAAGACAATCTTAGCTCCATTATGAGATAAGCAGCCCTCAGAGAAGCGAGTTTTCCCCACCATAGATTGTATCTCAATTTCTAAATAGCTGTTTTGTCTTGACCATGCTAATATTTATAACTTTTCTCAAAGTGTAGAAAACCTATCTTAAGCTTTTGAACAGTACATTATGTAGTTATTTGCTGGAAATGGAGTCTCCAAGGAAGAAAAAAATATTTTTACGAAATAGTTAATTCAGAGACAAAGATATTATTTTAGTAGTTAAATGTAGACTCTTTGGCTATATGCAGGACGGATCCCATAAAAGTGAAATTCTGGATATAACAAAAGTATTCTCAGGACCCATCTAGTTGCCCATGTAATTTAAGGAAAACTCCAGGCAAGAAAGGGTAGATAGTCTCTTGGAATTTGCAGTAGGGGACTTTAACACCCATATTGCTGTGTGGCTGACTGATTCAGGCCCTGCGTAGGGCTGTCTTTTAGAATAAGGGAGATGGTGGTTCTCAAACCTGGACATGCATTCAAATATCCTGGGAGCTTTACCCAATACTGATGCCTGGGCTCAACCACACACCCATTAAATTAGAATTTCTGGGGAAGCAACTCAGGCATCAAGTTTTTTAAAAAGCTCCCCAGGTGATTTTGATGTTCAGCCAAGGCTGAGAACAACTGCCCTAAGTGGTTAGACTTCAATCCTAAAAAAATTAGTAGGTAGATTTTCTACCAAATTGTCTCAGAATCTAGAAACTCAATTAATCAATGGTGCCTTTATTTTACACACTTGTAAGTTTTTCCCATTTAGGCCCAATAAAAAAATCAATCTCTGTCTCTCTCTCTCTCTCTCTCTCT